AAGTTATTAGAAATGGCTTCAAGGTTTAGTGGGGCGTTGCAATTGACTGACCTTGACGATTTTATCACTCCGTCTCAGGTAAGCAAAACTTAACCTCTGCGTAGTAAAGTTAAAATGTTGTTTACAGAATTCATTTATTTATTTAACGATAGCTATACAGCCATCAGCTTATAAAGATAACAAATTATTAAGAAATTCAAAACGTAATATACGTAAACTTGAAATTAATTCGTGTAAAAATTGTAACTACAAACCCGCTTTTCCTGCATTCATTTTCTCGTTTCACTCTTTTTAATTAGAGCTGTATTGAACCATACAATTTTATTTATTCATGCTTTGTGATATTTGTAAAAAACGTTAATTATTTTACTACTACTACTAGAAGTCAATAATTTAGTAATTACATAAATACATGTAAATAAAAAGTCACTGAACGAAAGTTTAATCGGTTCACCATTAAAAATTGGGGCTTTGGAATAGCTGATGTCGAGTCGGGAGTGAAAATTTTTAGATGTAGACCGAGTTAAACCCCTCCAACCACATTACAACATTAACTAGAATTAGCTTTTCAAGATTTTCAAAAAGTACTCTCGAAAACCTTTGATTTCCTTAAAATGAAAATCAGAATGGAAGTACCATTTGACTAGCTCTATGACCAAAAATAATCTTTAACATTCCAGCCCCTATGTCGACATCAGCTATTATCAAAAATTGAAATACTGCAATAATTATAGTTTTAGACCGTCAGAACAAAAACCGCTAAGTCACATTTTGACTTTCTCTGTCTTTAGTGCCAAATGTCGGATTTTGTACATTTCTAAGAATAATATATTCAATGTAAACAACAACCACTAAGTATTATTCAAAAATGTTTTTAAATAGTACTTAGTGAAAGTTTAAACCCAATATGACAAGTTCATTAAGTTAACCCAGACAAATTGGAATTGATCGGAAGTAATCAGTTTTTGTACTGCTCTAGTTTTTGTAAGCTCCTTAATTCATCCTAAATTTGAGTACAATTGGCAAAGGCACTACTTTTTATGGAATATGTCTTTTAGGAATGCATTAAACCAATAAAAATCGACAAGCCTCGAGGAAAGACGGGAGCTAAGATTAAAATTGGTGAGGATGGCTATTTCGACATATCCGATGGGAGAGAGCAAAAGTTGCAGAAAGTAGAGATCACATTGGCCGATTGCCTGGCCTGCAGTGGGTGCATCACATCTGCTGAGAGTGTGCTGGTCACTAAGCAGAGTCAGGAAGAATTACTCAGGTAAAAGGGCTAATTATTCAATGCACAACGATTAGTGACTAATACTATTTTAAGACCATAGCATCAAGTCATATGGTACTTGTAATGTGCAAAGTTATTTACAAAAATTGTTTCGGACATGTGCATTAGTAGGACATGTGATAGGTGATTTTAAGTAATATTTTCATAATAGTACAAGTGTTTTAACAATATCATTGGTTAAAGGTTAGCATTTGAATGGCTTAATCCCTTTGAAAAGGCCAATGATATTGGTTAAGTAGATCAAGAACACAATAAGTTGAGTAATCAATATTTAGGACAAGAAACTTCACAATAAGCATGTTATATTGAATGTATAATGCATGGAGTCCAAACAACAAAAAGCAGAAATACATAATATAAGAGTTTTTATACTAATATAGTCAAGATGCTCTTAGAATGATTATGTGATTGTATTTAGGTAATATTGTAAGAGTAATATTTACATACCATTAGAACTTCTTCAGAGTAGCTCCACTTACCTACTGGCAATGAACTGTGTGATTTTGATGAATAAATATTTGAATTTAATCGTCTTCGGTAGGGGATTTGCCTGCCCCGTAGTGATTCTCATCTGCATCTTGGCTGGATCTAGAGTCTTTGCTCTCTCATTACACACTGCAATTTCCTGTGTGAATTCTAGTCATTATTCTAAAGCAAAAGACGATAATAAATTGTAACAATTTTAGTCAAAGAAGATAGATTTCTATTGTGTATGAACAAGTATTTTATGGAAAAAATGCAATTACAGTGGTAACCTGTCACAAACTCGGAATTTTTTTCCGAAATAACGTTTGTTCGAATTTTTATTACACCGAAAACCGAATCATAACGAAAGCGTTGTTCTTTCAGGATAAGTTGGATGTTTATCGTAAAGACACGATTAGGTTCAGTTAAGTTAGGTTGAAAAGAAAAAACATTTTCCTCTCAAAATTGCTTTCGAGGTTATGAAAATTCGAGCAAACGTTATTTCTGGAAAATGTCATTTCGGACCATTGACTTACAAATAAATGGACGACGGGTCTAATACAAAAACCACGAAAAAAATGTCCCAAGTCAACCTATTTAAACGTAGTGACATGTAAAGGAATATGAAAGAGCTAAAACATTGAATTTAAATTGTAATGTCGTAGCAATACTGTCTAATTTTGCTTACTTCGCTGTCAGTCGAACAAACGAAGACTAAAGCGTGAATGACGCTCTGTATACGATTTTAACGCCCTATAGGTTCGGACACTTTTTAGCGCGGACCCGACGTCCATATAATTGTAAGTCAATGTTTCGGGCTATTGATAGGTAACCATTTACAGTATTAGCAATTGTGTTCTTTACAATTTTCATGGCATATGTAAATTTGTTTTTTGAAAAGTTATTCAATTCAAACTTTTGAACTGCCTCTGTGCCCGAATTTGGCATGCTAGTCAGCCATGCAGACATCCCAGTTCGATTCCCGGACGAAATAAATATTTGAACATTTATTTCTCTCGTGAGTTTGAGTGTAATTTGTAGTTGTCTATTTCTATGTGTGTGTCCATAGCACCCACGATTCAGGGTTTCCCTAGTGTGGGATTATTGGTGTGTGTGTTATAAAAATAAATATAGTAAATAAAATTTGTAATTTGTAAACACCATGGCTCAATTTATATTGCGGCGGAACGGAAAGGAAACCAATATTTGTAACAATATTGTACATTGCATAATGAACTGTATGGTCAATTGTGTAACATGCAAACTAGATACGAGCCAAAATCTTCTGTGGAATGCGCGAACATTCCGCGGAATCTATTACATCTAAAAATTACAAAATAATACCTCGATTGTACAGTCAAGAGCACGTCAAGCTTGACATTTTGTACTTTGGACCGTTATTATCGTAAGCGGTATATAGTTGGATTTAGGTCGTACTTTAGGTCTTCAAACTTGACGTGCTCTTGACCCTGTACAAACATTCCCATGGTATATAATAAATTCGTTACAGAGTTTTCTCAGAGAGAAAATACACAGACAATATGGGAGTGACAAAAGACATAAGTTTGGTTGTGATATCACTGTCACCTCAGCCCGTACTATCTGTTGCCGTGCGTTACAAACTTACTCCAGAAGAAGCAACTAAAAAGTTAGCAGGTATAGTTATTAATACTTTACTGTAACTCCAGTCTGTAATGTGGTACCCCAATTTCTTAGTTTGAGATTCTCAACTTACTAGGACATCTATTGGCCAGTGACTTTTTTTATGATACGAAGTGACGACGGGACGAACTAGTCGTGCGCCTGATGGTAAGCGACACGCCTGTTATGGACATAACAGTTGCAGTGCTAGTTAGTTAAATGAGCATTACTGCGTTTCGGTTATGGAGGGTAAGGGTGCTGCTGGTGAAATTACGGGCACATGGGATTTGTCGACTTATGTCTCAAGGTGACGGGCGGTGCCCCTCAGATCGTTGCGATTTAAAGCTCAGAGGGGCACCGCAACTCCTACGCCTGTCCGCGTGTCGCTTACCATCAGGCGGACGACTTGTTTATGTCGTCACTTAATATCATAAAAAAAGTTAGGTATGAGCTGCCCTCATCGTCTTTTGTCCAAAAGAAAATTGGTCTTATATTGAATTTCTGTTAGTAACGTGCCTATCCATAACTGTTGCAAAAGATCTGAAGGGCACTGCTATCGCGCCCGTCACCTTGAGACATAAGTTGACAAGTCCCATGTCCCTGTAATTTCACCAACACCCTTAACCTTTAAAACCGAAACACAGTAATGATGACATCACTGCTTGGCGGCAGAAATAGGTAAGGTGGCAGTACTATCCTGGGCAAACTCTTTCACAAGATACTCTACTGCTACTTGAACTGACTCCCTGATGTATGAATTTCTTTTTAAAGAAATTGTAACTTAAAAGATTTTAATTAGCCATTGAACATTAAATATTTTGCTATACATTGTAACCATTATTGGTAGGTCAATGATTGTCGGTTATATTATTGACAATCATGTTATCTTGACATTGAGTTTCAAATTGTATTATCGTGACATTGATAATATGAAATAAACGCTTCTATTGTATTCTACTAATTTATGTTAAATTAAACAAGACACGATTACAAAATTATTCCTGTTTTGGCTACCACCATGCAATGTATGTTAACGATATCCGAAATTTAACTAGAAACTAAAATTCTCAAGTGTGTTACAGGTTACCTGAAAAGCCTTGGCGCAGACTTGGTGCTCGATATGACGGTGGCCGAGGACCTGTCTTTGTTGGAGGTTCAACAGGAGTTTGTACAGCGCTACCAAGAGCAACAGAACAATCCTGCAGCTAAGCATTTGCCAATGCTTGCTAGTTCTTGTCCAGGTAATTGGGTATGACAAGTCATTGATATTTACTTGGAACCGAACTAGGGAACGCCCTTTTGTTTTATACAAAAAAGGTGCGAATTTGACCCCCATCTCACCCGATGAAAATGTGACGATGATGTCGAACATGTAACATGCACACCTAAATAAAGCCTATTCACTCTTGCCTTGAAAAGGTCCAAGTTATAGCGTTCGGTGCTTCGGTCGTGTGCCGGCCGTGATACGCTCAAATATCTATGTCATGCTTTTGTATTAACTAATTCATGTTAGACCGGGCACCGAACCCCCACCGGAACACGGACTCGGCCCGGTCTCACATGAATTAGTTCATACAAAAGTATAACATAGATGTCTGGCCGTGTCACGACCGGAGCACAGCCCAGCCCCGGCACGGTCAAACATGAATCAGCCTTTAATCCGCCCCATTGGGCTGAAGAGTCCAAGGGGGACGGTAGCGATGGGGGGCGTTGATGCTGTTCCGAATTATCTATATAAACTACACTACATGTATAGAATTTCTGTAATTCTTGTGATTTTTGTGTTCAGTTAAAATAAATAATACGTGTTTTGAATTATTTCTTGTAGTGGGCGTTGACATTTTTTATCAAGTTTAAGTGGGCGGTGAGCCAAAAAATTTGGAAACCTATGATCTGGATAATCAATGTTCCTTGTTAACTTGTCGAATTTGTGTTTTATTTTTGTCTTTGGTGTCGACAAATGTCTATAATAAACATTGACTTACAAATAAATGGGCGACGGGTCTAATACAAAAACCACGAAAAAAATGTCCCAAGTCAACCTATTTAAACGTAGTGACATGTAAAGGAATATGAAAAATCTAAAACGTTGAATTTAAATTGTAATGTCATCACAGTACTGTCTAATTTTGCTTGCGTCGCTGTCAGTCGAACAAACGAAGACTAAAGCGTGAATGACGCTCTGTATACGATTTTAACGCCCTATAAGTTCGGACACTTTTTAGCGCGGACCCGACGTCCATATAATTGTAAGTCAATGATAATAAACAATATTATTTTTTATTAGGTTGGGTGTGCTACGCAGAAAAAACACACGGCTCCTTCATACTACCTTATATTTCGACTACAAAGTCGCCTCAACAAATAATGGGTTCATTGGTCAAGCAGCATCTCTCGAAGCTAAAAGAGGTGACGCCAGCCGAAATATACCACGTCACGTTTATGCCGTGTTACGACAAGAAGCTAGAAGCGTCCAGGGAAGATTTCTATAGCGACATTTTAAATTGTCATGACGTCGATTGTGTTATTACTGCCAGTAAGTATATATTTTACAAGGCCGTTAACATTTGGGTTGTGATATGGAACTTATTCATGATGGGCAATTTTAAAGTCTTATCAACAACAAGTTTAGTTTTTTTTTTAAATAACTCGAGCTAAAGGAACAAACATCCATAACGCGAGCTGTGACAAGTTCAGCTATTTTAAAGAACTAAATTGCATTGACAACACGAACATTGACAAATTCAGCTATTTTAAAACATTATCTTACATTGACAATACGAGTATTAACAAGTTCAGCGATTTTAAAATACGAACTTACATTGGCAACACGAGCATTGACAAATTACTTAGTTAAATTTATTAGTTTTGAATGGGACATCTGAATAACATAAATATAACATTAAAAAGAATACAAGTTTAAAAGGAATAAAACTATAAAATCTATCAAAAAGTATGTGCTCGCGCAAGAGTGCGATTCGTAATATATAACAATAAATGACATATTTGTAGTCGATATAACGCTCAACAGATATAATTAATTTATGGTATACAGACATTTGACATATGACTTGCATGATATAAAGGTCACTGGGTATAATAGATGATTGATATAACAACTTTCAATCAAATATAGCGATGGCATAATGTTCATTTTATATAAACACTTCAGATTTCACTTTTTCATTCACTGAGTATGATGTTGAATGTGTATGTGTATAAAAAATATTAATATAATTCCAGTGGTGTTTAGGTGCAACGGTGAATGAACCGAATGCAAACACATTTCCTAGTTGGATCGACCTCCTCGTATGGGTTTAGGTTAAGTTAGTATATGACAAAGCTGCCAGAATCGAATTTGTTTGCATTTGCTAGTTGGTTCGACCTCCTCCTCTGGGTTTAGGTTAGGTTAGTATATGACAAATCTGCCAGAATCGAATTTGTTTGCATTTACTAGTTGGTTCGACCTCCACATGTGAGTTTACCTTAGATTAGTATATGCAATTGAATATTCTGCTTAAAGTTTTAATAAATATATTGTATAACACTAAAAGCACATAAAGCTATACAAAAACAATAATGGAATAAAAAAAATCTTGTAGGGCGCTTCAATAATATAATATAATATTGTGTTATATTATTTAATACATTATACTGGTAGTACTTATACCATTTGTTCATTATATCACTTAATGACAATTATAATTATTAAAATAAAATAAAATAAAAAATAAAATAATTATATCTAATGTTTGTTATACTGAAGGTTCATTATACACATTGAAATTATGCGTTTTGTTGTTATAGATTTGGTTGATTATATACAGTGAGTGATTATATCTTTAGAAATTATATCAAATGTTATTGTACCAAGTAAAAAAAGATTATTTGTTGTTATATCTTCCATTACACACCCGCTCGCGCACACACTTACACAGCAAACACGAACATTGACAAGTTCAGCTGTCTTTAAAAACTTACTTACATTGACTACAATGGCATTGGCACGTTTAGCTATTTTGAAAAACTCACTGACTCTGATAACACACGCATTTACAAATTCAGCTAATTTGAAGGACTAGCTTACCTTAATAACATGAGTGTTGAAAATTTCAGCTACTACAAAGAACTTGCTAACATTGACAAAGTATGAGATTAGTCTTTTCATTTAAACATTGTAAAGAAAACCATATAACAATTAGTAATGCAACAGACCTCTGCATCTGCTTCCGCAACTGCGGAAGTTCCGTAAACTTTTTACATCTGTTTCCGTTTTTGCTTCTGTAACTTTTATGACGGAAGTTCTTTCGGAAGTTTATAAGCTTCGAAATGGATCACGCGCGTGCGCATATTGCTGGGCGGTGGGGCGCGTGGGTTTTATCAGTTTTGTGTTGTTTTAAGTGCATTTTTTTATCTAAGTGCTGGCAAAAAATCCAATTATGAAACCAAAAAACAAACTCTGTTTGAATCTATTTCGTTGAGATTTTTATAGTATTTACACTTCCGCTTCAACTTCCGTTTCTGTTTCTGCTAAGATTTACTCCTGAGATCTGGTTGCGTTTCTGTTTCCGTTATGACACTTCCGTTGCATCACTCATAACAATGTACCTCTTCAACAGTTGAACTAGAACAAATGCTAGAAACCAACGGAATACCACTCAGCGACATGCCAAATATAGACCTGGACTGGCCTTGGAGCAGCGAAGGATCGCCGATGGTCAGAAGACACACAGGCTCAGGATCAGGGGGATACGCTGACCACGTGTTTCTGTACGCGGCTGAACAGCTATTTGGACAAAGTGATGTGCCACTTGTTTATAAGAATCTCAGGTAACTAACTGTTCTTTTTTTTTTTATAGAAATTAGTGCGCATTTGTTCTCCATGTCAATCGATACTACCTCAGCTTGAATTAAAATTTTTCCCGCACTGAATCGGTTCTATTGCGCGGGTCGAGAGGCAGAGACACTGGTTTTATTTCAAAATTTATACGAAATTGAAGCCATTTGAGAAATGTATATCGGATACTATACGTGTCCTATTTAGTTCAGTTTGAAAGGGTTGTAACCCTAACTAGCCGTGAACAGGTTCACGGCAATGAAATGGGAAACTTCCGGTCCATAAAATTTATTAAAGAAGTAAAGTTTAAAGAAAGGCTGTAACAATATAAAGGTAAATGTAAAAAAACAGGTATGACAGTATAAAACACTCGCTACACTTTATTATTAAGGCACTTACCCCTAAATGGGCCGAGAAACTGAATTACAGAAATAGATACATAAATGCTGTAGACTTATAAATTATTACACATGATTAGCTTATTAACAGCTCCGACTGCTGTGGCGGTCGAGCTGGGAATGACCGTGGTACGAAAACAAAATGAGAAAGTAAAGGAAGATGGAACAATTCAAATTTAAATACATGTAAACATTGACTTACAATTATATGGACGACGGGTCTAATACAAAAACCACGAAAAAAATGTCCCAAGTCAACCTATTTAAACGTAGTGATATGTAAAGGAATATGAAAAAGCTAAAACGTTGAATTTAAATTGTAATGTCATCGCAGTACTGTCTAATTTTGCTTGCTTCGCTGTCAGTCGAACAAACGAAGACTAAAGCGTGAATGACGCTCTGTATACGATTTTAATGCCCTATAAGCTCGGACACTTTTTAGCGCGGACCCGACGTCCATATAATTGTAAGTCAATGCATGTAAAATAAAAAATGATAGGATACAAGCGGAGAGAGGCGATACAAAGAGGTGAGATGACGGTGCAAGGAGATCACACCGTCACAAGTTGATATAAAAAAATATTGGTATGTGTAAAGACTTGTTGAATACAGCGGTTTTCTTGTAAAAATTTCGAGGCGAGTTTGTGTTTTTTTTCTATCATGATAATTTTTAGGAATTGTGTTTTCACACCGTATAGTAATCAATTTTACTATATATTATTTCCAAAGTTATTGATTCAACACTTTCGCTGTTATGCGGAACCGACCAAAGTCATTTGAGGTTGTATAGACCCTTATTTAGTTAATGAGTCTCACGGTGGTTTTCTATTTAAAATTAACATAATGTAATTGCATCGAGTATATAACCAGAAATAGAGACGAAATAACGGCCATACATTCCTGGTATCTCATCAGTTATAAATATCAAATCTCGGAAAATATAAAACATCAAAAGATATTATCTCTAACAATGGCGTTGTGTTTCATTCTGTGGTGTGGGTAAAAACAGCAAAACATCTAATTATAAAATAAACGGAATCAATTTTCATCGGTAATTAAATATGAAATATGTAATTTTGCAATTTTCGTCCATTATAGCAAAGCTCAAGTTAAACTGGTCGATTTCAAGTGAAACAATTGACGACACCCGTCAATTGTTTCGAACTCGGGCTAGCCAATCGGAGCGCAGTTGTCACAGTAATTATATGGCAGAATAGTTTACAAACAAATTAAATGACATTTCGTCTCTATTTCTGGTTATATGCTCGATGTGTAATTGATATGTATTCAGTGAAGTAAGTAAAGCATATTTTCCTGTCTGAACAAACAAATTCACGATTAATTGACATAAGTTTGTATTTGGTCAAGGACTCACGCCATTTCCGTAGTATAAGTTACAACTCACTTTGTAAACATAAGAGCGAAAACACCTTCCAGTACCTGTACGGTCTGTCTGTACAATAAGTTCGGGGGAAGTCGTCTTGTCAGATCAACTTCTATACAACCTATGTTTTCACTATAAATGAATTATGATTGTCAATAATTGTAGCAAAGTCAAAGTCAAAGATTAAAGTCAAAGTCAAAGATTATTTATTCCATAGGTAAAATAAATTTACACTTGAAAACGTCACATTTAAGCTACTGCTCGTTCACTACGCTGACTGTTTCGCGGGGTCTGAATTAAATAAATAACGCACATACTCATAGCCGTACACTATTTTTATTTATACATTCGTTACCTTTTGTAACCGACTTCAAAAAAAGTAGAAGATTTTTAATCCGACTGCATTTTTGTACGTATGTTACGCGGTTGAGTAACGTGAAAAAAAGGTGAGCAGTAGAACTCATTGTCAAAGAGTTCGTTACCTATTTCTGCCGCCAAGCAATAATGTGAGCCTTCAGGTTTTGAAAGGTAAGTAAGGGTGCTAGTGAAATTACACGCACATGAGACTTGTCAAATGTCTCAGGGTGAAAGGCGCAGTGGCAATGCCCCTCAGATCTTTGCGATTTAAAGCTCTATATAGCACTGCATCAGTTATGGACAGGCGTGTAGCTTACCATCAGACACACGACTTCACCGTCTTTTGTCCAAAAGAAAGTCGATCTAATTATGAATTTCTGTCAGTCTAGTTTGCCTTTTGTGACCAATCAGTCTGCTGGTCACCTATGAAGGCTGGACGCGACAGTACCATTAAAATGATATATATTTTTTTATGATACCGACATCATCATCCCCTATCCATAACATATTTTTAAATCTATTAATATGCTAATACACTGCCCTATTAAGAATGAGCCCATTTAGAGTCTATTATTAAAATGTACGCGGTCTTAGAACTAAATCCACGACATTCCTTGGAAATATTTCTTTATGTTCGTATGACATAATTTGTCACACGGAGACCTGGCTAAACGATAGCTTTCATAATAGTGAATTGTTGAATTGTTTGACGATCGTTTTATAGTCTTGAGGACATGATCGGAATTATGAATCGACTGGCCGGAATATGGGGGACGGGGCTCTGATTGCTGTGCGCTGATTGTCTTCAAGCGCTGAGGATCTATGGGTCACCTTATCTTTGAAAAACCGTAATTCTAGATCTACTTACAAAATGCATACTGGTGTAGTTTACATTTGTGATCAGAATCTCGGGTAACTCGATGTCGGTTCAGCTATCTAATTTTACATTTAATGTGACTAAAATTGAATCACGCAACCCTTTAAACAGAATAATCATATTTGGCGATTTTAATATGCCTTTCGTCTCGTGGACTGTAGATAGTATGATGGAATATATCTTATCCCTTCCAACCTTCAAGGCCGTCACCAGTTACAATTAATAGATAATTTTAATACATGTTCTCTCTCACAATATAACTCTCTTGTGAACAACGGTTATGGTCGGATTTTGGATTTATTTTTTCTAATAATGTTGTTTATGTTAACACATGTGATCGTCCGCTTGTCCCAGAAGATTCTCATCGCCGTTCTGTAGTAGCTACTGTAGAATTTGTTCAATTACATACAATTAAACCGCGCCCTTATACTGGTGATTTTAATTCTATATATACCTGTATGCTGTCGATTGGCGCTCTGCGCTTAATAGTCGAAGTATCGAAGAAGCGGTCTTGTTCTTTTATGACACTATTTATAGCTTGCGTGACAAATATATTAACAGTATTGTAGTTTCGCCTTCCCGTAAGTATCCGTTATGGTACAAGCGACCCTTAATTAAATTATTAAGAAAAAAGACGAAATTTCACAAAAAATATAGAACTTATGGCAATGCTTACGACCGTGATTGATTCGTCTCATTGCGTAAGAGGGCGCATGAGATGGAGGAAACTATCTACAATACCTATATTTCAAATATTGAAAAGTACATAAAAGAAAATCCCCGTGCATTTTGGTCATTTATAAAAAGTAAAAACCAGTCGAAATCGTACCCGTCTATGCTTGAACATGATAACCGCTCGTCTGATGAAGGTCACGAAATTTGTAACTTGTTTGGGGAATATTTTCATTCCACTTTTTTAAATCACCACTTTCCTAACACACTAATAGATTCCACTTCAATTGCTTATCCCGACTCATCTGCTGATATATCTACTGTTGAAGTAATTGAAACAAATGTTTGAAAATTATTGAAATCTTTAGATTTAACGAAATCTACAGGCCCAGACAACATTCCCGCAATATTAATAGTTAACTGTGCAACGAGTCTAGTCCTTCCTCTGTCTATGCTGTACCGCCGCTCTCTTTCTGAAAGCATCGTCTCAAGCATCTGGAAATCTGCCTTCATCACTCCCATTCACATAAAGGGCCCTAAAAATAAGGTAGAAAATTATAGGTCAATATCGAAGTTGTGCCAGTTTGCGAAGGTGTTCACAGTTTTCTGAGAGGTAGGAAAGTAGTCCCGAATCTCTTACTTTGTGTTGAATCTCTTTCTACGTATATGTCTGAACCGTCACAAGTTGATTTATATATACGGATTATTCCAAGTGTTTTGATGGAGTCGCTCAAATTAAATTGTTAGAAAAGCTACAAAAATTGGGTATAAAAAGAAACTTGTTTAGATGGTTTTCTTCTTAAGTCCGAAATCGATGTCATATAGTAGTTTTAGGTTGTTACTCATCTTTGCCTATGGACATCCCCTCCGGTGTGCCCCAAGGCTCATTACTAGGACCCCTACTTTTCATAATTTTTGTAAATGATATCGCTTCCTGTTTTCTGAACTCTAAAACACTTTTATATGCCGACGACATGAAAATTTCACATAAACTTAAGGCTATACATGACGCCCACGTTCTTCAGGATGATCATATCAGATTTCAAACTTACTGTACTGTAAACAAATTGGACCTTAATGTTCCAAAATGCTACGTGGGTACCTATACTCGAAAACCCACAAAAATATTATATAAATACACGTTTTATAATGCTTCGCTAACTAGAGTAGACTCGATTAAAGATTTTGGGGTAACTTTTGATAGTAAATTGTTGTTTGATCGGCATATTAATAATATTGTCAAAAAAGCATCTCGTTCGTTAGGTTTTGTGTTAAGAATGTCGTCGGAATTTAAAAGTAATTAAAACTTTTAAAATACTTTTTTGTTCTTACGTACGTAGCCATCTTGAATACGCCTCCCAGATGTGGAATCCTCATTATGATATATATTTCGCACGAACAGAAGGTATCCAAAAGAGATTTCTACGTTACTTGCAATATCGAGCCGGTATATTTCTGCCAGACTATGAGACTAAGTGTCGTAAATTTCTCTTTCTGCCATTATACAAACGGAGAAAAACGGCTGATTTGACTTACCTAACTAACATAGCAAACGGCACTGTCGGTTGCCCTGAACTCCTTGAGCAAATAGGACTACGCACAGACAGGGTTGCACTGAGAAATCCTATCACACTTTACGTTCCTAGGGTTAGGACAAATTATAGACAAAATGTATTTTTAAATAGAGCGTCTCGCTCATTTAACTGCTTAGTTAATAGATAAGGTGAGGTGGACTTGTTCGACACCACTACAAGTAAACTAAAACGCTTACTCAGTGATATGTTTTTTTTTTCAAATATATAGATACTATAACCGTTTAACGTTTTTATTTTCGAAATTTTTACTTATTATGTTTTTTTTCCTTAAGTTGGCAACTTACTTTGTAGTTTGTTACTACCACTGTAAATATTTATCTGTGGAAACTTTTAATTAGCCCTCAGCATACATATACTGGCCTGTCAGGCGTGTATTATTTATTATATTCTTGTTACCTAGCTGTAAGTTTTCTAAAAATATTGAAAATAAATTAGAATAATATAAAAATAAAATAACAGTTGCAGTGCCACTTGAGCTTTAAATCGCAAAGATCTGAGGAGCACTGCCACTATGCCCGACACCCTGAGACATAAGGTGACAAGTCCCATATGCCCGTAATTACACCAGCTCCCTTACCCTTCGAAACCGGGTCGCAGTATGCTCACACTACTGCTTGACGGCAGAAATAGGTAAGGCAGTACTTCCCTGGACGAACTCTTTCACAAGATACTCTACAGCTACTAAACCATGACCTAATTGCCTATTTGATCAAAGTACCCGTGTATAAGTTCCCTTAATAGGTATTGGAATAGTAGGTAGGTATTTAGAATTCTGGACTGTTCTCTGCGGAATAAAGGATTTATTTATAAGTAAACCTAATTAGACCTATTGCTAAACAATGCTGAGGGCGCCACACAGCGACGCGGCGCCCGCGCCGCCCGGCGCTTGACCCTGCACCTCTGTCGCAATATAAAACATACGATGTTTATAAATACGTTTTAAGTTTTAATTAATTCTATTTGCCACAACTATATTGTTTACTTTTTGCTGTCTTTTAGACCGTTTTTGGCTACTTTGGCGACCTCAGAGTTCCCGGTATAAATTCTGTTGGTCTGCGAGTCATAGCACGGGGAATTCCCTTTTAAAATTGTTTAAGACCTATTTCATATCATCTCAGTTGTGCGTGAATATAGAGTGCCAATGGCAGGATTTTGTACGTTCGGTATTCTGATAAAAGTTAAGGGTAGTGGCTTGTCTGTGATTAGCCATCGAGCTGCTATTCAACTGCCATTATATTTTTTAGTATTCTGCACTTTATTGGGGAGTCTACTAAAATTATTTGACAGCAAAAATATGTTAAAAAGTCGCGAAAAACCAAAAACAAAGATAAGACACAAGTCACAAGGAGGTCTACTGCTACTTAGGAGTTAAGTTTTATGAAAATTTCTCTAGGAAACGTGGATTAACCAAGCATTGGACCAGCCCCATATCTTTCTTCATTACTTTTGATTATAGTGACCCTCCCTACCTACCCTTAGGGCGTACGAGAAGGGCACTATGACCTGTGCGAGCGAACCCGCACAGGGACCATCTAAGTCAGGTCCTAACCCCGGGACAGCACGTTTACACAGACTTCAACCGGTTCTCTGTAATGCTAGTGCCTTAGGTGAGCCGCCCCGGGTGCACGTACAGCACCCTCCCTATTTTCCAGATAGGTAGGTAGGATAGGACGAATGCCCCGGCCACACACCACCGGGGCAGACGAACGTATCCGTCCCTACAGCTAACCACAAACCCCGGCGAGTCCATACCCAAGTCCGGGTGCGCCAAAGACGCCTGTGAACTCGCATGACAGGCGGAGGGCTTGGCCCGGACGCCCACCGTACCCTGGTCTTGCCATCGAGCCCGTAGTCTCTCCGGAAAAACCTGTTTCTCTGGTCGGTAGATAGGGTACAAGCTTTGGACCAAGCACCATATCTTTCTACGTTAGTTTTGATTATAGTGACCCTCCCTACCTACCCTCAGGGCATACGAGAAGGACATTATAACCTATGCGCGCACAGGAACCTTACAAGTTCAGGTTCTGGCCCCAGATCAGCCAGTGCACAGGGCTGTCACCGACCTCTGTCACTTGACTTCATCCGGTTCTTCGAGAGGCTAGAGAGCTGTAAGACACGCTCACTTCCCGACGACGAAAAACGACGTCTCTCCAGTTCCCAATAACCTAAGCGGCTGGAGGGACCGGAGAATATCTAGTTTATCCTCTACTAGCTCTCCGAGCTAGTGCCGGAGATGCCAGTCGCAGTGTCCTGCGACAATGCCCGGACATAGCTTCCAACTTAAAGGGCAACTCACGTGTCCCGCGCGTCTCCTCGCATACAGGCCCTCAACAAGACCGCTACTAAGACGCGCTAACTGCTCACGAGACAGACGTCCACAAGAAAAAACCGGAGCAGACAAACATATCCGTCTCTGCCACAAACCACAAACCCCAGCGAGTCCTTACCCAAGTCCGGGTCCGCCAGAGACGCCCGCAAAGGCGTATCACTGGCGGAAGGCTTGGCCCGGACGTCCGCCGTACCCTGGTCTTGCCGTCGAGCCCGTAGTATCTCCGGAAAACCCTATCTCTCGGGTCAGTAGATAGGGACAGCATTGGACCAGTATGGGTTATGGCCTAAGCTTTTATAGGTGATCAGTTATCAGCCTATCGCAGTCCGCTGCTGGAATAGGACTCCCTCAATGTGCGCAATTTCGGCCAGTCCACTCTTGTCGCATTCATCTGTTGCCAGCAACCATTCGCAGATCTTAATTTGCATATGTATTTCTCTTTTTAGGAATCCAGATTTCAGAGAGGTAACACTAGTGAAAGACGGCAAAGAAGTATTAAAGTTTGCAATAGCGAACGGGTTCAGGAACATTCAGAATCTGGTGCAGAAATTAAAGAGAGGAAAGTCGCTCTACCACTATGTTGAGGTCATGGCTTGCCCATCAGGTTGGTAATTACTTTACTTGATGTTTTACGAAAGCAATTTATATAATTATGCAATAAACAATAACTTTTCTTAGCCTAGATTGTGAGTGTGAGTTACTTAAAGCGAGCAAGGTACTCGTGAGGTGTTGACAAGTTAGCACTAACTTGGCAACATAAGGTTCTCAGAATAAGTGCGTCTAAAGAATTTTTGAGCCTCTTTAACACTGTGGGCGCTAGCGGGTTCGATTACCGATAGGACCAATTTAAAAATGAACTTTTCTAAATTGGTTTCGGTCTATGTGTTCTTGGTTTTACAATGGAGTGAATTCCTTTGCTCTCGTTCTCATTTCCTAATTCAAGATCAGTTAATTGATGTAGTTATCTATATGTTATAACTGCCTCCGTGGCCAACCGGTTACCATGCCGGACTGGCACGCAGAGGTCCCAGGTTCGATTCCCGGGTCGGGAGAAATATTTGTATGACCTACATTTGTTTCTCACGTGAGTTTGGGTGTAATTTGTGGTTGTCTACGTGTGTGTCCATGGCACCTGCGACACAGGGTATCCCTAGTGCGGGGCTATGTTGAGTGTGTACGTTATTACGTTATTATTATTATTTTTACTAACAGGTTGCCTAAACGGGGGAGCTCAAATACGACCAGTGTCAGGTGAAAGCAGTCGTGAATTAGTCCAACAGCTTGAACAGCTGTACGCAGAGCTGCCCCAAGCGATACCCACAGAGAACAAACTAGCTAACAAGCTTTACGCTGATTGGCTGGATGGAAAAGACTCGGACAAAGCTCACGCTGTTTTACACACGGGTTACCACGCAGTTGAAAAGACAGATATCGCTCTTAATATTAAGTGGTAATAGAAAAACACATCGAGTGTTTTATGTGTGCACAAGACAAAGTGATAATCCAGTGTTAAGTAATGTTTACGAATAATTTTTGAAAGTGAAATTGCTCCACTAGTTTGTTATAATTATTGATACAAAGATCGAACACTTAAGAAAAATTCCTTCGATAGCTGTATTCGGACCAGCGCTTTCAAGCATGCCGTGCCAGACGCTCTGCTAACCGAGCTACCAAACGAACCACCAGACCTTACGAATTTTTCTGTGCTTATTGCAGATCTTTGTTTATGGTTTTTCAACGCCTATTTTGCATTCTGTAATCCATAATACCGCTGGTAGCTGTAAAGGTAAATACAAAGACAAGACAATAAGCACATAGAAAAATTCTTGAGACCCGCTGGTTGGTTCCGTGGTTTAGTTGGTATAGCGTCTGCCACGGTATGCTAGAATACGTCGGTTCGAATCCGGCCGGATCGAAGGAATTTTTTCTGAGTGTTCCTCCTAAAGTACCTAAAGGCACGGTATGCTAGAAGATCAGGGTTTACAACCAATGCGTCCTACCGGTCATGACTTACGGAGCCGAGACGTGGAATATGACTGTGAAACTGGCTCACGGACTACACGTCGCTCAGCGAGCTATGGAAAGATCCATGTTGGGTATCTCGTTAAAGGACAAAGTCCGAAGTTATCCGGCATAAGACTAAAGTTGTGGACATCGTCCAGAAATGTAGCAAGCTCAAGTGGCAGTGTGCTGGCCACATCTGTCGCAGAACCGATGACCAATGGAGTAGACGGGTTCTCGAGTGGAGACCATGTCTCGGCAAACGTAACGTCTAAAGAAAGTCGCGGGTAGTGGTTGAATGCGGAAATCGGGTGATCGGGCACTATGGCGTACACTTGGGGAGGCTTATGTCCAGCAGTGGACTGCAATAGGCTGATTGATTGATGCTAGAAGACGTCGGTTCGAATCCGGCCGGATCGAAGGAATTTTTTCTGAGTGTTCGATCGTTGTATTAATAGTTATAACAAATTAGTGGAGTAATTTCACATAAAAAAATAATTTAATAAAAATTTAAACCTTTAGTTTGATTAGGGATTGAAGTTTTTCTTTATTATTTATGTACCCCTGAAAAAGCATACTTATGTACAGGTTTAAGCTTTTCAAGAAGTACCGGAAATATCGGGAGTACCGATACTGAACTACGCCCAGCACTGGAAGTCAATATTTTAGAAACCGGATCGGTCATGCAAGCCCTAATCGTGATATCAGCCAGATCAATTTCAAGTATCAAAAAAAAAAACAAAATCTGGAACTCGAAGTGAGAACGCTGAAAGTAAAGATTTAACTGCCTCTGTGGCCGAACGATTACCATGCCGTACTGCTACGCAAAGGTCCTAGGTTCGATTCCCGGGCCGGGAGAAATATTTGTATGGCCTACATTTATTTCCCTCGTGAGTTTCGGTGTCCATGTTCATGGCACTCGCGACACAGGGTTTCCCTAGTGCGGGGCTATGTTGAGTGTGTGCGTGAAAAAAAAATGGTTAAAAATAAAATATAAAGCCGTTTATTTCTACACAAAACATAGAAATCGCAATAATTAAAAATAAAAAGTACGGTTGAGTGATGTGGAGTTGTGGACAAAGAAGTTAGACTCAGCATTGCTGATTTTCAGTCTTCACCTGTAGCTAGCTGTTCGCTTGCTGCACCAGGCTGATATGCGGAGTGTACACCAATGATATATCTACCCTAAGTAATAAGTTAAAGTTTAAAGGCTGTCCGTATAAAGTTCCTTGTTTTATTTTTATTTATTTAACCTAAAATTTAAAATTTTGTGCTGCTAGTGGTTTAATTCGGAACCAGTTGTTGCTCGATTTCTGTGCAGATAGGAGCCATTGCTTACACAGTTTTTAAAAGTAAAAAGCGTTGGCGTTTACTCCATCAACAAGAGCTTAGCTCTTAAATAAGAACAAATAATTAAAGTCATAGGTACATACTAGGGTTGATAAGAATATCAGCATCCGCGGATAATCAGCATAAATTAAAATATCCGCATCAGCATCAGCATTCATCGATGTTCGAGTGGTGTCATGACCTAAAAGGCACGCTGGAATAATTTACAAACCTTCCAGAAACAGACTGTAAGTCGAAAAACAGCTCAGCTGTTGTTTTTAACATAAAACTTTGATAAAATTCCACAACAATTACGCTAGGCAGATTGATTGTCTTCATGATTATTTTATTAATAAACAAAATAATTAATAAATGTCATAAAATCATTGAAATTATATTTTATTACAATACCAAAGAAAATAGAAAGCTTTGTCATGTAGGTAGATTCAGTAAGGACGTACATTTTTCGCGTTTTTTTTAAACACCTAAAATCTAAAATCATCACCCTACTCATGCGAGTATCCGCTGACGATAAGGTCAAAAAATCAGCATCTGCTGATGTATAAAAGACCTGCATCAGCAAGAACCCTGGTACATGCTGCCACAGAGATTCAAATCGTCGCCTTCTTGAGAAGCAACTGCTCTAACGCTGGACTACCACCGCTGTGACTTATTTACCTACTTACTATTAACTTTTAATCTAAAGAAAATGTTCTTTAGATAGAAAGTTAATGTCAACTAAATAGAACATTATATACGTTGGTAAATTCTAAACGCTTTTTATGTTTCTAACCTTTGGTGGAGATAATATATCTTTGTATTAAACTTTAATTAAATGTAATTAAACTTTGTAAACACAACAAAACAGTGCGATAGTTATCTCTTACGCATGACGAGTCTGTGTTTAGTCTAAGATTTAGACTAAGTTTTATATGCTATTACAAAATGACAACAAAAATATTTATATATACATAATATTCTATCGACAGAGACAGTGAAGTTCTTATCGATGTAGCCTTGTACATTTGTCCACTATACATACGTACCTTAATATGTATACAATTCGAAATGTGTATACATATTATATTGTATACATATTGTAATTACAGTCGAATAGTCTACGGAAACAGTTTTGTAATTCTTATGTTTTGCACATTTAAACTTTGACCAGTACTATATTTATAAATGCTTTGGTGTTCAATGTAATTAGGTACATTGAATGTGTCGAGACATAAGAAAAGTTTTCGCGACTATTACACATAAAAAATGAAACTATTTTTTCTAGGACAAGCAACCTGAAATGACTGTGAGCTGGCCATGTGTTGAAGAATCGATAATCTATAGGAGAAATGTGTTTCTGAATGGAGACCACGCCTCGGCTGCAGGAAATTTCTCTAGCCAGATAGATCTGCGAATGACTGACTTGTGTGACATGTTGAAGACGAACAGAAACCCTTAGCCTAGGCCACCTAAAAGAGCCATAACCACACTGGCCCAATGCTTGGTTAAGGAACGTTTCTTCGAAAAGTTTTCTTAAAAGCTTAACTTCCAAATAGCAGTAGAGCTCCTTGTGAAAGAGTTCGTCCAGGGAAGTACTGCCATTTTACTTATTTCTACCGCCAAGTAGTAATGTGAGCATTACTGCGTTCCGGTTTTGCAGGGTAAGGGAGCTGGTGTGAAATTACAGGGCACATGGGACTTGTCAACTTATGTCGCAGGGTGACGGGCGCAGCGGCTATGCCCTTAAAATCCTTGCGATTTAAAGCTCTGAGTGGCACTGCAACTGTTATGGACAGGCGTGTCGCTTAGCGCCAGATTTTTTCGTTTCGTCATTTGGTATTATTACAAAAAAAAAAATTTTGTATCAATAAAACTTTCTGTCGTTTAAAATGTATAGGTGTCTATATAACCGATATTAAAGCAAGTGAAAACAGTAACAATTGACTGGGTTTATATGCAATTACAAAGTAATATGCAACAAAAAAGCGGGTAGTCATGCACAGTCACTGGGTAGCGGCGGTGGCGATGACGGTGGCGGCGGCGGCGACGGCGGCGAGCGGACGGGAGTGTGCCGTAGGTATATTGACGCGTCAAACGCGTGTTTAAAGGTCGGCCATGCTTTTAGGACGAGAACACAACTATAATTCATAAAAAAAACGAAAAATTTATCTCCAAACTTCGGGAAAAAGTCAGAAACACGCATTAAAAATGGGGAAAAGATTTTTAATTTTTAACCGACTTCGAAAAAGGGGGAGGTTCTTAATTCGACTGCATTTTTTATTGTTTTGTGTGATGTAACGCGAGTACTTGGCATTTGTGAACCGACACTATAGTAATAATAATAACGCACACACTCAACACAGCCCCGCACTAGGGAAACCCTGTGCCATGGACACACACATAGAGCACCACAAATTACACCCAAACTCACGAGAGGAATAAATGTAGGCCATACAAATATTTCTCCCGGCCCGGGAATCGAAACTGGGACCTCTGCGTGGCAGTCCGGCATGGTAAGCGTTCGACCACGGAGACAGTTAAAGGGCAGAAGGTAGGTACGAGTCATGGGCGAGCTCACAGAACGAGAGCTAATGAAAGAAACATATATTCGGCTATTACAAATACATATACAAAAAATTATATTAATATAAATTTAAATGAAATAATAAAATATTACTAAATACATAATAATAGCCAAAAAGGGTAGCCAGCTCAACATAATGGTGGGTAAAGCCATAACGCTGATTTTCAGCTGGAGCCTGCGTGCTAAATGCTTTTTCTAAATTCTAGTTTTGCGTAAAAGTGTTTAAACTAGTTGTTTGCGCTATTATAGTTGGCACGTGCGTTACCGAGACGGCTCACTCTTTTGTCCTATTGTACTCGAAAGATAAAGAGATACGACGAATCGGTGTAAATAATATTTCGTCAATTATACTTCCCTGGCCGAACTCTTTCACAAGGAGCTCTACTGCTACCATAGCTAATAGTATTTTATGCAATCATTGCATAATGAGGGTTCCTAAAGTTGAGTACCGTGTACACAAGTTTCCGTTACCGGAAAGTGCGCGATATCGGATTCATCCTCTAGTTTTCCACCCTTAGAGATGCAATATTTTCTTAAATTTTAAATAGAACCAATACTGAGGTACCCTCTTTCCAACAAAAAAAGAATCCTCAAAATCGGTTCAAAAATTGTAATACCGAAGTAATCGAGTAACATTAAAACAAAAAGACAGTCGAATTGAAAACTCCTTTCGAGTTCTTAGGTTTTCGCGATTGTTACACATGGGAAATGAAACTATTTTTCCGGATTTAAATCGCGTATATTTGTTTTTTCAAACATACCAACGTTCCGGGCCCTTTACAGGTCCCTTGGTCACGGCGGTCAACCGTGGTCAAATAGTTTCATTTCCTATTATTTCTTCCATTTTTGGAGTCGGTTAAAAATAGTAGCATGCAGTTCAAATTATGTCTATCACTTCTATCACATAGGGCTTTATTACCTATATTAACGTTAAATAAATTGCAATGGCAAATAATAAACGCTGTAAGGCCAAATTACATCACTCAGCACTGTCAGTACTTTAGCATAAAATGAAGAAATAATTTAGTGTGACAAACACATATTCTAACGTAACCATTACAGGTCAGCGTCTTAACCTTTATAGATTACAAATATCTTTTACCTACACAGTGGGAAATCACATATTTTAGGCTAGTTTTACAACTACTTTCACTATTAGGCACGTGATGTTTTCTATTGTTAATCTACAGTTATAAATTAATTGTTAATGTTCTTTGTAATCCATTACTGCTTAAAACTTTCGTCCATTTTCTTTTAGTTACATTCTTGTCACCGGTACGGAAGTTATGGTTATCGCCTTCCTCCAAAAACATCGGCCAATAACCTTTGTCTGTACTATGGTTGTGTTTCACAAACACGTTTCTGAATTATACTATTTTTCGGATCTTTTTTTTATAATACGAACAATGTATAACAATGTAATACGAACTTGTTCGTCCCATTACTTAGTACAAATTGAAAAGTCCCATCTGTCCCATCTAAATCGCATAAGTATATTTGTTTCTCCATACAAATCAACTCTTCGTGATCTTTACAAGTCCAATGGTCGCGGGTGACTTAGTTCTATAATCTCAAAACCTAAGTTCCTGAAAACTTAAAAAAAAAATTTTATTTCTTAGTTTAGAAGCAGTGGAGCTCCTTGTGTAAGAGTTCGTCCAGGGAAGTACTGCCACCATACCTGTTTCTGTCGCCAAGCAGTAATGGTAATATTACTGCGTTCTTGTTTTGAAGGGTAAGGTTTT